GACAACATCGTGGCTAATTACGTGGAAAATTACGTCGAAAACGTATAGAGCCAGGAGCGTATTTGTCAAACAGATTGACAAATATCCTCGAGCTCTTGGCAGGCTCGAGGCCGAGTAGGTTCGTGCAAGTTCATTGAAAAATAGCCGTCCACGCGAAAGTTCAAAGAAATGGAAAGTGATTAGACGTAACCTTAGATAGACGTTTCTTTCGCAACCTGCCAGTCCCAAGGAAGCAAAGGCTACGGTAGAAATCCTCCTGACACAGTGTGGAATATTCGAACAGATTTGAAACATTCCAATTTATGATTCGAGATAATTAATCTTAAGATTAATACCAGTGATGAATTTTGCAAAATATTTTTCTGCCGAGATTATACTATAGTTTGTTACAAAATGCCAGACCAAACAAATTTTCAGTGTTTATATTAATATATTGTATGCAAATTTTATATACAGAAATAATTAAAAATAATAAAAAAATAAAATAATAAAAAGAAATAACAAAAGAATAATATATATAATAAATTATATATATATATATTCTTCAATTCTATTATTCTTATTTATTTTTTCCTTCGCATTAAGATTATTATTTAATACAAATATAGTACACTTTCTTGAATGATATATGAGGTACTACTTTGTTTCGAAAATGTAACGAATTTTTAATATATTATTTTTTAAATATTTATTTTAATAATTAAAATCTGGCTGGAATTAGAATCTGATAGAAATTGTTTATTGTATTGGGTTTGGTATATAAATAAATAAAAAATATAGCAATTTTTGTGCAATATTTTTGTCAACAAAAATAGTATAGTCGTATAGTAGTAACTTTCCTCAGTAAAATCAAATTTGATTTACAATCCTGTGATTTTTGTTTCTCCAGATACGATACTTCGAAGTTACCCAAGAAATTTGTAAGTCATGAAAATTCAGTCAAATATTTAAGCGGAGAAGTTGAAAACGAGAATCACGAGGTGCGAAAATCATTTTGTCACGCATTATACTATAACAATCACGACAGAAAAATATTTTTGCTTTCGAAGCAGTAACATTCTTTTTCGAAACGCTATAGCATCAAACTATGGACTATGAATAAAATATGAATACCAATATTTGCAAAATATTTTGAATTCCGGCCTTTTATTCTCGTCAGCTTGAAATCCAGCACGAATGGCATGTTTTTCGATTTCATTGAAATATTTCAAAAGATTTATGTCAGTTTTAAAGATTAGGTTTCTTAATAAAGAAGCATAAAATAAAAATCAAATTTACCTCAGTTATTTTTAAATGATTGTTTAATGATTGCATTATTTTTCACGATACTTAGATATAAGTGTATCTTGAAGTATTAATGTAATTTTTCTCTCTCTTCAATTATTCTAAAAATTATTTATTCCTCGAAAATTAATGACGAAGGAGATATTAATTTACAATCCAATTAATAATCCAATTAAACACTAAAGCTATCAAATCAGTCAAAATGAATTCTCGAATTTTTTATTTTTCCAGTTACTGAAAATATGAAATAGCATTTTTATAAAATTAATATTGATCCTTATTGAAATAGAAATATAATTATACATACTTAATTATTTGCACTATATCACATTAATTATTATTACCAGAATTTTTGTATTATATATAAAATTTACATATAATTAGATACATTATAGGTGTTGAAGAAACTAGAATATATTTTTATTCTTGAATTTTGAATCATGAAAATCATTTTTGAAAAAATTCCCTAGCTATAAAATTCCCTAGTATTTCATAATTTCTTGAGAACTGATAAAAATGATCTAAACGTCGTAACTTTATTTTACAAATTTCCTTTATACATTATTAAATGGCACAATTATTTTCAAAGCCAGCAATAATTGGTGTTTTCACTTAGGAAATGAATGGTAATAAAAAGTTATGGAAAATGGAGAGCAATAGACTTTTAAAAAATTTATATTAATTTGAAATTAAATACCATGATCGATCTGACCACGTCTTCGACTGCTGCCATAATCGTGGGATTAGTGAACTTTGGCCATTTTAAAATGGCCATGGGGGATTTTCGTTCTTGGATTCCCTTACGTGCCAGGAATTGAAACAAACCGCTTTAAATCCGAATCTTTCATTGAACAAAATGGATATAAGCTTGCTTTTATAACTGATGAAATATTAATTGCGACAAAATATTAATGAATTGAGAAATTGCTTGGAAATTGTACCGCGATTACGACGACAATAAAGTTTTACACTTCTTGACATCATGCTATTGAGCACGTGTAGAAAATAAAGAAGTTTGTGACTTTTCAAAGAGTCATGGATATCAAAAATGGAATAATTAATAAGCAGCTAATATGCTAATTGACTTGCAAATATTTAAAACATACGTACATATATTTATACTTACATAAATTATATCGGCTATAGTACGCAAAAAGTTTATTTACACTGGTTTACTAGTTAATGTTAATTATACTGAGTTCTATTACGTCAAATAAATAATGTTATACTAAGTTGATGATGATTGGTATAATAAATCAATTCAGTCATAGTCATAAATTAAATATTTTTCTTTGATGTTGCTTATTTTAAATTTTAATTTAATCATTTATTAAATAGTAATCGTCTCAAATGATAGAAATAGCAATCAATAACGATTATTTCTTTAATAAATTAATCTAAGTATAATTGTCAATGAAATATCTCCCTTTGTTGCTTTTCACTTTAAATTTCGTAATTGTTAAATTCAAGATCGTTATATTTGGAAATTTATTATCCTAGTATATTTCATGCTGTATTGCTATTATCTAAAACACTTCTTACCCTTTCCTTCGGCAATTTCAGTTGCGAGAAGTTAATTAAAGCGAGTCCGCTTACGATTTAAATTGCCAAGTTAGCGTGAAAGCTGAGGTGTTTTAAGCAGTTATGAAAGATCTTTCTGTTTTGAAATTTCGCTGCGTTTTAGTAGTGGTAACAATCGTTGCAAAATTCTAATATTGTTACAGCGCTCTCGAAACAAAAATTAAAGAAATAAATAAATAAATAAAATAAATTGTAAATGAAATGGAAGAGTAATATAAATTTTTAAATAACATTTAAATTACAGCGATGTTAATATGATTGTACTAATTATTATATCGAGCCAAAATTCTTTTATAAGAAATTTTTGTTCTGTCTTTGTTCTGCTACATTTAGCAAAGTTCTTATAAAAATTCTATTAAGAAAATAAAATAAAATAAATTATAAATGAAAAAGAATAATAATATAAATTTTTAAATAACGTTTAATGTTAATATGATGGTATCAATTATTATACTGAGCCAAAATTCTTTTATAACAAATATTTGTTCTGCTTTTGTTCTGTTTTATTTAGCAAAGTTCTTATAAAAATTCTGTTAAAAAAAGAAATAAATTAAATTATAAATAAAATAGAAGAATAATATAAAGTTTTAAATAACATTTAAATTACAGCGATGTTAATATGATTGTACCAATTATTATACTACACCAAACGATTTTTATATAAAATATTTGTTCTGCTGCATTTCGCGAAGTTCTCACAGAGATTCTGATATTTCACCAAGAATGCATTCAAATTGAATGTATTCGACTGATACCGGCACGAAACATCGTTTATATGATAATCTTAATAAATATTTCATCGCATCGACAACATATGTAAATGTCGTGCCTACACATAACATTAAAGGTAATCGAATGATAATATAAGGCGATTTAACGAACACATTTGAACATTCTGCTCGTATTGCGTTCCAAATTACAAAGAAAATTTTTCCAAAACAGACGCGACTTTATTTTTCTTTCAAATTTTACCCTTTATTTACATAATTCTTTTCCAAATTTAAACCTGCATAATATCGTGCATCCAATTGTAGTCTCATAGGGGTTACCCTTAACCCCTGTTAACCCATAGGGGTTAATGCATTGCATGATACCCTTCATTATCTATCAAATACACATAATTTTTATTATAAAAGAAAATTACCACTTCTCTCTTCGCTACACTTTAAATTGCTCTTCGAATTCTTTTCAATTTTCAATCACCATAAACGACCTTCGTCTAAAAAGAAGAAAAAGAAATGAAAAATAAAAACCAAGATACGTATCTCTTCTTTAAAATGTACTTTACATTCCTTCCATATTCTTTCTCTGTTATAAAACAAGAATTCTCGTAACTGGTAAGCGCGTTTCGAAAGTTTGGATCACTTCGATGCTATGAAGTAACTTCGATTAAATTTTACTATATGCTTCCATTAATCATTCGCAATGTATGCACAATGGGGTAACAAGTTACGCCGTTGCGTAAGGTGTGCCGTAATCGACAAACAGAAACACGAATTCTGGTATTAGTTATATTTCGGACAGCGATTCCAAGCAATTCCCACTTTGTTTTCCCGCTTCGAACGAGACATACGAGGAACACGTTTGTACCGGGTATCTCTCTTTTTACAGCGTTCAATGTGAACCGGATAATTAAACGATTAACGTCGGCCAAATAAACAACCCTATTACTGTAATTAACAGCTTACTTACGTTCTATAGACAGCTCATAAATGAAAAAGAAAAACTTTTCTTTCTACAATCTGATACAAATTTCCAAAGCTACATCTTCGTTATAATATAGTACTTAATTATTATTTCTATCCAAAATTTAAATATCCAAAGAATGACATTTTATCCTCATTTATTAATCTTATTTATTTATTTATCCTCAGACAATTCGGATAATTTTTATTTATTATTAAATTCTCTGTCTTAAATTCTAATTATTTATTATTCAATTCTCAGATTCCCTAGTCGTTAGGGTTACAAGGGTTACAAAGTACCCCTTCCTCGTGATCACAATTTAACACGAACGATACGAATGGAATCTGTCATTAGAGGTTAACATAGGTTTTATCGAATTATAATTAATTATCCTGTGTTCACCTACTGGACCACTAAATTACTTGGTCCTTTTAGCAACACTAACTAACCTGTAACGCAGACTCAACGACAGAACAGCAGCTTCCTCAGGGACGAGCAATGGGTGCCTGGAGTCAGTTGCATCTCATGGTTCGAACGTTCACCATCGACCGCATGTTCATCGACGAAATTTCACCATTGTTTCTCTGATCACTTTCAGTAGAAGGCTCCTATGATCCCACTGACTCCGAGGAATTGGAATAATGGAAGTAATCCCGGACAGAGCGATATTCCCGAAAGCTGGCACAGCTAGAGTCTCTTCACACGGCGCAAGGACTGTCTGAACGAACCAGAAGTCCTCTTACTGTCACTTCTCGCTTGGAAATTCCTTTCACAGCTCGGTCGACGAATTTGAGAATCGACACTGGCCACGGGGACGACGGTGGAAGAACTGGATACAGGAAACAGGTGTCGCGGAGTGGCCTGGTCGCAGTGCCACTGAGAACTGACTCGGCTGGCCACAGAATGGAGAATCAAATGCTTGTGCAACACGTCGGAGCCGTGTTCACCATCACGGCAACGGTCAGACCAGTTTGCAGTGGGGGCAATCGCGGACCTCGGCTATTATGAACACACGTTCGCCGTATATTCGCGGGCTGAAGACTTTTCCGGGGCACCGGGCGCCATCCTTCTCTGACAGGCTTCTCGCCTGTGCGATGGCAGATCGCTCAGGGTTCAACGACGCGTCGGGATTTCGCGCTTCCGAACGCTAGCTCAGGGTTTTAGCCCTTTGTACTCGAGAGGTGCCCTTCGGTCGCCATTTGATAAAATTTCGGAACTCCTTGTTAATTAATATATTGTAGAATACCCAAAGAAATCGCGAATCGGTTATTGCCAAGAAAAACAAATTGTAAACCGATCGAAATCTTCTAGAAGCAAATCGAAAAGTTATTCTATATAACAAAATTAAGTTGCACGACTCCTCTACGGGGAGGTGAAGCGTAGGTTAAGGAAAGCGTAAAAGCGTGGTCCTTGACAACCAAAACAGAGTCCTTTGAAATCGGTTGTGACCAGCACAAGCGTGAGTCGCTTGGTGTTGGAAAGAGAGTTTTAAAAGAGTGCGTCTTTGTGTGTTTTCGTTATCTTGGTGTTCTTTCCCTGAGTTAAATCAGTTTACGAGTTTTGAGTTTGCGTTATCGCGTTCTTGTTCTTTCGTGAATTTTCGGTGTCTCGAGACCAGTTTCGCTATCCTATGATATCAGCTTTAAAATAATGTAAGTGTGCGAGGTATCGAAATTAAATAATTCTACGTGTTAATTATTATACGATTTCTTATTTAGTGTTTAAAAAATATCATCAGCCTTATAGCAGAATATTTTTCAACTCGTGTCCCTCTTTAGCCGAAAAATCGTCGAGCTCAAAGAGTTAGGACTCCAAAGAACTTGGTTGCGGGATTCGAGATGAGAGTTTGAACGTCAGATTTCGAGATGCATTGACAGGTTTAATAGTTGAGATTTAACACTAGAACTACCGATCTTTAATGGGCGCCTAACTATAACGTGCACGGATTATAGTAATTTCAGCGGTACGATGAATACGAGTGAATATATTGATTACAGTTCTTTCTTAACCCTTTGCACTCGATGATATTTGGCTAGAGAAGAGTAGAAATTCAAAGATTCTCTACTAAAAAACTGACGATACTTTTTTGAGCAGTAAATAAAGAATTGTATAATAATAGAATTGTGGAATTATTTGACTTCGATACTTCGCACACTGTTGCATTACGTTAAATTTGATATATTAATTAATATCGATCTTCCAAATTTTATGAAATGGTCACTGAAGCTCACCTCTCGAGTGCAGTGGGTTAATATGAGTTGATACTAATTTTATCCTTAAAGCAGGTGTACGTGTTCGGTGATTGCAGAAAGGAAAATTCTGGGACCAGTCGTTTTGACTGGGTTGGTAGTTTTAGTGTTAAGATTTAACTCGAAGCTGCTTCTAGCAAAACCAGTCAAAATGACTGGTCTTGTAAATTGGACTTATGAAATACGTAATAATAGAATATTTTTCTATTTATTGATTTATTACTATCTTGTAAAAAGAATTTCATAGTATCGAATTGTAACAAAAGATTATTCGTCATATTTCTTACAAATGTATTTTGTCTTCAGAGTGCATTTTTCGCATACATACTTTTTACACGTATTACAAATGTTGGTAGTCTTGTTATTATTACAGTACCCTATTTGGCTTCAGGATATCGTGTCCAGCATTTGGGATCCAGAGATCCAAAGTCGAAGATTCAAGATGTGCGATTCGAGATTCAAGGAACAGGATTTAATATGCATGAGACAGAAGCTAGTATTTCAGATTTCGAAATCTATTAATTGGTATTCGAGATTTAAGGTTTAGGATATCGTGTCCAGGATTCGGGATCCAGAGATCGAAAATCGAAGATTCAAGGTTCAAGGGACAGGATTTAAATTGGATGAGATAGGAGTTAGTTAAAATTAAAAAATCTATGATCCAAGATCCAAGATTTGAAGACTTAAGATTCAGGATTTCAGACTTTTAAAATTCCAGGATCCAAGATCTGAAGATTTAAATTTCCGAATTCGAAATTTAGAATTTAGTGTTTCAAATTCGAGATTTAAGATTCAAGATCTAAAATTTAAGATTATAGTTTCAGAATTATGAAATCGAAGATTCAAGACTTGAAAATTCTTTATTCAAGATTCAAAATTTGAAGATCTAGGATCCAAGACCTGAAAATTAAAAATTGAGGATACGAAATTCAGGATTTTGTGCTTAAAATTCAAGATTTAAGATCCAAGATCTGAAACTGAAGATTATGGATTCAGAAATTTCCGAATTCGAAATTTAGAATTTAGTGTTTCAAATTCGAGATTTAAGATCCAAGATCTAAAATTTAAGATTATAGTTTCAGAATTATGAAATCGAAGATTCAAGACCTGAAAATTCTTTATTCAAGATTCAAAATTTGGAGATCTAGGATCCAAGACCTGAAAATTAAAAATTGAGGATACGAAATTCAGGATTTTGTGCTTAAAATTCAAGATTTAAGATTAAAGATCTGAAACATAAGATTATGGATTCAGAATTCTAAAATCTAAGATCCATGATCTTCGAAAAATAACCTTCCAAAAATTTTTAATTCATGATTCATTATTCACTGTTCAAAATTCCAGAATTTAAGATTCAATATCTGTAATTTAAGATTCAGGATTCGGACTCTAATTTCCAAAGTTTAAAATACATTTTACAGTGTTACATTATCGTCGAATGGAAGAACCGTTGAACTTCTCTTTTTCGTCATCAGCAGACTACGGCTCGAATTCCCTGAAGAGATTTCAGTCGTTTTTGTGCAGCCATCGGCGATTCGAGGTTCTCGAAACTAGTTAGGGTGGAGGGGTCCGTTCTTTTTGGTCGAATTTAAGAACGAGTCCGGTCGGCTATTGGATTCAAGATTGCTTCTGCTAATTCCTACACAACAGTGGAATCTTACAGAATGAGTTTGCAATATCGGCAACTGTGTTTGGAAAATTTTTCCCGCTAGAAAGAAACACTTTACATTTAGATCGAGAGGCATGGATATAAATCATGCCTACAAATCAAGGATATAAATCATCTCGCAGGAGAGGCAGTAAACGTTCCTTTTATAGGGAAAATAGCAACTCGAGACACCGTTTCAAATGTTTCCATTTCACAAGACGAATTCCGCATCGCAATGTGAATCTTTCCGAAAAATTTCGAAACTTTACCATCGACCTTCCTCATTCCTTAACTTCTCGAACGCATACCAAATCTTTCCTCGTGGAGTCCGAATAAATCCACCATTTGCGATTCTACTTTGTGTCAAAATTGCAGGATTAATGCTAGATTAATTCTATGCCGACAGAGATCCGCGAGTCTGATATCAACGATTCGTTTTTAATAAAACAGGTTTATTTAACTAAAATATTACACTAGGTTTCTCTCAAACACTCGATCCTCTATTCGCTATGTCTCGACTACACGCGTTCTGCCTCATCCGTGCCTTTGCATCCTTATTTAAAGCCTAACACTCTCTCTTTTCATAGACAGGCTTTCTTTCTTGATCACTCGATTCAGTCATACATATCCCGTCGAAATGATTCCTTCTCGAGCATTCCTATGCATTCGCTTAGAGGAGAGTGCAAGTCCTTCGGGTCACCGATTTGGTTCAAACTTTGCAGGTTTATAGATCTCGTCATGCAGTTCATATACCATTACAGGGGCAACTACTCGTTAGTTTTGAACCAGCAAAGTTTGAACGAAATCGGTGACCCGAAGGACTTGCACTCTCCTTGTTAGAGGAAAGAACGCACACCTATTCGCTCCGCTATCACTCTTAACACGTTAAACTAGGGACCCTAGGAACCGGCGCTAAACCTTCCGTTCAGGCCTCGACGGTCCGTACGGCCTGGAATAGGGCCGGAATGACGGCTAACTGTGGCGTGAACAGAACGGCACGTAAAATCGACGTGACATTTAACGTGTTAACCATTTGCACTTTTCCTCGAACCCTTCAGCCAGGTTCTTATAGGCCCTATGACGACCCATTGCGTCACTCAGTCCTGCTTCGAAAATTGATAATCTTGATGGCTCCTCGTAGCTATTCGAAGACTACAATACCTCGTAGGCTGTAGAATAGATCGCCTAACGATTCCAATCCAGTGGTGAGCATAGCCACCTACTCACCAAGAGATAGGTCTATTCGAAGGCTACAATACCTCGTAGGCTGCAGAATACGATTCCAATCCAGTGGTGAGCATAGCCACCTACTCACCAAGAGATAGGTCTATTCGAAGGCTACAATACCTCGTAGGCTGCAGAATACGATTCCAATCCAGTGGTGAGCATAGCTACCTACTCACCAAGAGATAGGTCTATTCGAAGACTATGATACCTCGTAGGCTGTAGAATACGATTCCAATCCAGTGGTGAGCATAGCCACCTACTCACCAAGAGATAGGTCTATTTGAAGGCTACAATACCTCGTAGGCTGTAGAATACGATTCCAATCCAGTGGTGAGCATAGCCACCTACTCACCAAGAGATAGGTCTATTTGAAGGCTACAATACCTCGTAGGCTGCAGAATACGATTCCAATCCAGTGGTGAGCATAGCCACCTACTCACCAAGAGATAGGTCTATTCGAAGACTATGATACCTCGTAGGCTGTAGAATACGATTCCAATCCAGTGGTGAGCATAGCCACCTACTCACCAAGAGATAGGTCTATTCGAAGACTATGATACCTCGTAGGCTGTAGAATAGATCGCCTAACGATTCCAATCCAGTGGTGAGCATAGCCACCTACTCACCAAGAGATAGGTCTATTCGAAGACTACAATACCTCGTAGGCTGATAGATCCCGATGCAAGGTGACGCCATTCAAATAAAGACTCCTCTCACATACTCGACAGAATAATTTCTTCTCCCCTTTTTTCCAATACGCTATGATCCTCCTGTAACGTTATCATTACAACTGTGCA